TTTTTTTCCCCCCCAAGGAAAATAAAACAGTTTGCTTTATTTTAAAACAGTAACTTCCTTATATGGGGACACTGACCAAAATTCAATACTGATACAAAAATATGTTTCTTAGGAAGTCAAAATGTGTGTCAAGTGAATTTTCTGAATTCTGTTAAAGAGAATTTCAAACCATATAAAACAAACAGGTGAAATGAGAGGTGAACATCAACATGTGTAACATAAGCCATAGTACAAATTTAAACAGAATCATAAAACCATGTCATTACCCCAAATCATTTTTGTTAATATTTAGGAGAATGTACATATTTTCAAGAACTTAGAAATGAATCTCTACTTCTATCTCCTAATACTCCCAGGAAGTATAACTTTCTTCTATTACTACATTCAAATAATCCAAATATTTACTACTGGTAGGATACTCTGGAATTAACTATAGCTGAGTGTATCAGAAATAGAAAAATCATGAAGATTTATAAAGCATCTAAAAAATAATCCTTTATAGCAAGTCCTTAAAAGCCCTAGATAAAAAAGGCAATTCTCCACGTCTAATAACACCTACGGTTTATATTGCATAATATAAACAAAACAGCATTCTGACTGGTGATAATTTAGATGAAATTCATTTGCCAAGTCAATTTTCCATTAAAGTTAATGTTTTGCCAATATTAAAAAAATTTTTAACTCTATTCTGATATTTCCAGAGGTATTAACTTAGCAATGATGTTCACTGAAATTCCATAATGCTTCCCATGGAAGGGAAGTTGAGAACGAGGAAAGCTGCTTTCACCTCATTGCCATCCAGTACTGAGGCAGAAAGATGTAGTTTTCCAATAGTGACTAATGAAATTATTGAATTAAATTTCTTAAGTAAAAATTCAGAATGTACCATCTTGTTTTCTTTCAGTTTATTAAATAGCATCATAAAGATGACTTTGCTAAGTTAATATCAAGATTTTCTTTCTTAAAATACTATGTTTAAAACACAGTTACTTTTAAAAACCTACAATAAAATCAATTGGAAATGTAATGGTTGGATTATTCAAGAATTCTGAATTGTTCCATATACGCTTCATACACTTAATATTTCATTAACTTTTCTTTTAAAAAATGATGTTTACATAATTGTTTCCTTTATTAGATTGTGAGTTTCCTGAGGGCAGAAAATACATTTTATTCACCCTTATATTCCCCACCCTGTACTAGGGTATAGGGAACACAGAAGATGCTTAGGAGACATACTCTAGTTCCTACATTCTCATCCTGCAGGTTTTTGCAATTACTTTACAAAAAAAAAAAAAAAAAAAAGCAATAAAGCTAATCTAACTGTGCCTACTACTCCTTCACAGAGATTACTACTTGCAACATTGTTTTTAAATAAAGCATAACAATATTTCATATTTTTCTTTTTCTTAGGAAATAAACACAAAAATCATTCTATCACCTCCTCTTTTGCAGATTAAACTTTGTCCTCAAAGAAATTATGCATCTTTCATTAATTTCTAAATGTCACTCAAAACTTTCCCTGAAATAGGCTGGGCGCAGTGACTCATGAGGCTCATGCCTGTAATCCCAGCACTTTGGGAGGCCAAGGCAGGTGGATCACTTGAGGTCAATTCAAGACCAGTCTAGCTGACATGGTGAAACCCGTTCTGTACTAAAAATACAAAAATTAGCCAGACGTGGTGGTGGGGATGTGTAATCCCCACTACTTGGGAGGCTGAGGCAGGAGAATCACTTGAACCCAGGAGGCAGATGTTGCAGTGAGCTGGGAAAGTGCCACTGAACTCCAGTCTGGGTGACAGAGTGAGACTCCATCTCAAAAAAATAGAAAAAAGAAAAAAAGAAAAATCTTTCCCTGAAATGTCCTGTATGAGGCTCACTTCTGAAATAATTAAAATACAATGTTGGGTCTCTGGAATTCCACTGCCTTATGATGAATTACTAATTTTTATCTCTTAACACACCTAACCTGAAAAGTAAGTCCTTCTCCAAGACAGAGAGATAAAAGGAATTAGGAGCTAGCCAACCTGATTTTATTATTATTTCTTAGAGATAGAGGTCTTGCTCTTGTTGCCCAGGCTGGACTTGAACTCTTGGGCCTAAGCAATCCTCTCACCTCAGCCTCCTGAGTAGCTGCCCTGCTCCTGATTTTTTTCCCCATTCTGTCACCCAGGCTGGAGTACAGTGGTGCAATCATGGCTCACAGCTTAAGTGATCCTCCTGCCTGAGGCTCAGTTGGGACAACAGGCATGCACCTCCACACTCAGCTAATTTTTTTTTTCTTTGAGACACTTTTGTTCTGTCCCCTAAGCTGAAGTGCAGTGGCTCGATCCCTGCTCACTGTAACCTCCACCTCCTGGGTTCAAGCAATTCTCCTGTCTCAGCCTCCTAAGTAGCTGGGATTACAGGTGCACACCACCATATCCAGCTAAGTTTTTTGTTTTTTTTTTTTTAGTAGAGACGGGGTTTCACCATGTTGGTCAGGCTGGTCTCAAACTCCTGACCTCAAGTGATCCACCTGCCTTGGCCTCCAAAACTGCTGGGATTAAATAGCATTATATTCCTTTCTAACATAACAGGCATGAGCCACCATGCCTGGCATCACCCAGCTAATTTTTAGATTTTCTGTAGAGACAGGGTCTCACTATATTGCTAGGGCTGGTCTCAAACTCCTGGGCTCAAGTGATCATTTTGCCTTAGCCTCCCAAAATGCTGGGATTACGGGCATGAGCCACCCAATCCAATTTTAAATCCTGTTTCTACCATGCTTGAGTCAAGCTCTTCAGCTTTCTCCATCTGTAAAATTACAACAATACCACCTATGTTGGATTGTTAGAAGGACTAAGTGATTTTTACATGTAAGGGCTGGTCAATGTGGTGGATTCCTTCCCTTCTTATTTATCTAGGACTTTTAGTCACTCAAGACATTTTAAATTTGCCTGGCATTAATTCATTTCTACACTAATAATTTATTACCTTCACTGGCCTGAATTACAGGTATTAACTTAAACAGCAAAAACAGCTTTCTGATACTTCTCAAAGATTATATCCAGCTTAATGCAAAAAAACAAACCAAGAAATTATGTTTCTACATATGGCCATGTTCTTATTTAAGAAACATAGTTACTTAAGAAACGTTAACTATTTTTTACATGTATATATGTCAGACATTGGGGGCAAATTTCAAATTTGACCTAATATGTAAAATATATCTTTGTGGAAAATGAGCCTATTAGGTTTCAGGATCAAAGAGGATTTAAGTTATCTTGGTGCAATGAGCTGAATGTCTTTTGTTGCCCCAAATTTATATGTTGAGCTCTTAACCCTCAATGTAATAGTACTAGAATGTGGGACCTTTGGGAGGTACTGTGATTTAGATTAGATCACGAGGATGGGACTTTCATGCTGGAATTGTGCCTTTATAAGAAGAAAAAGACACAAGAGCTCTCTCTCTCGCCTCAAGCAAGCACCAAGGAAAGACCATGTGAGCACTTAAGAAGGCAGCTGCATACAAGCCAGGAAGAGGGCCCTCAATGGAACCCAACCATGCTGGCACCCTCATCTTGGACTTCCAAGGCTCCAGACCTGTGATAAAAAAAATTTCTATTGTTTAAGCTGCTCAATCTATGGCATTTTCTTACAGCAGCTCAAGACACTTGGATTTTTCAAGGCCACTAGTTATGAAAAGATTGCCATAGCCTTTCACTTAAACATCAGATTCTTGGCCGGGCGCGGTGGCTCAAGCCTGTAATCCCAGCACTTTGGGAGGCCGAGGCGGGTGGATCACGAGGTCAGGAGATCGAGACCATCCTGGTCAACATGGTGAAACCCCGTCTCTACTAAAAATACAAAAAATTAGCTGGGCATGGTGGCACGTGCCTGTAATCCCAGCT